ATGATACAATGACAGAGACCAGACAAATAGACGGGCGGATGAACCTACCCATTAGATGATACAATGACAGAGACCAGACAAATAGACGGGCGGATGAACCTACCCATTAGATGATACAATGACAGAGACCAGACAATTAGACGGGCGGATGAACCTACCCATTAGATGATACAATGACAGAGACCAGACAAATAGACGGGCGGATGAACCTACCCATTAGATGATACAATGACAGAGACCAGACATAGAGGGGCGGATGAACCTACCCATTAGATGATACAATGACAGAGACCAGGCAAATAGACGGGCGGATGAACCTACCCATTAGATGATACAATGACAGAGACCAGACAAATAGACGGGCGGATGAACCTACCCATTAGATGATACAATGACAGAGACCAGACAAATAGACGGGCGGATGAACCTACCCATTAGATGATACAATGACAGAGACCAGACAAATAGACGGGCGGATGAACCTACCCATTAGATGATACAATGACAGAGACCAGACAAATAGACGGGCGGATGAACCTACCCATTAGATGATACAATGACAGAGACCAGACATAGAGGGGCGGATGAACCTACCCATTAGATGATACAATGACAGAGACCAGACAAATAGACGGGCGGATGAACCTACCCATTAGATGATACAATGACAGAGACCAGACAAATAGACGGGCGGATGAACCTACCCATTAGATGATACAATGACAGAGGCCAGACAAATAGACGGGCGGATGAACCTACCCATTAGATGATACAATGACAGAGACCAGACAAATAGACGGGCGGATGAACCTACCCATTAGATGATACAATGACAGAGACCAGACAAATAGACGGGCGGATGAACCTACCCATTAGATGATACAATGACAGAGACCAGACAAATAGACGGGCGGATGAACCTACCCATTAGATGATACAATGACAGAGACCAGACACATAGACGGGCGGATGAACCTACCCATTAGATGATACAATGACAGAGACCAGACAAATAGACGGGCGGATGAACCTACCCATTAGATGATACAATGACAGAGACCAGACAAATAGACGGGCGGATGAACCTACCCATTAGATGATACAATGACAGAGACCAGACAAATAGACGGGCGGATGAACCTACCCATTAGATGATACAATGACAGAGACCAGACAAATAGACGGGCGGATGAACCTACCCATTAGATGATACAATGACAGAGACCAGACAAATAGAGGGGCGGATGAACCTACCCATTAGATGATACAATGACAGAGACCAGACAAATAGACGGGCGGATGAACCTACCCATTAGATGATACAATGACAGAGACCAGACAAATAGACGGGCGGATGAACCTACCCATTAGATGATACAATGACAGAGACCAGACAAATAGACGGGCGGATGAACCTACCCATTAGATGATACAATGACAGAGACCAGACAAATAGACGGGCGGATGAACCTACCCATTAGATGATACAATGACAGAGACCAGACAAATAGACGGGCGGATGAACCTACCCATTAGATGATACAATGACAGAGACCAGACAAATAGACGGGCGGATGAACCTACCCATTAGATGATACAATGACAGAGACCAGACAAATAGACGGGCGGATGAACCTACCCATTAGATGATACAATGACAGAGACCAGACAAATAGACGGGCGGATGAACCTACCCATTAGATGATACAATGACAGAGACCAGACATAGAGGGGAGGATGAACCTACCCATTAGATGATACAATGACAGAGACCAGACAAATAGACGGGCGGATGAACCTACCCATTAGATGATACAATGACAGAGACCAGACAAATAGACGGGCGGATGAACCTACCCATTAGATGATACAATGACAGAGACCAGACAAATAGACGGGCGGATGAACCTACCCATTAGATGATACAATGACAGAGACCAGACAAATAGACGGGCGGATGAACCTACCCATTAGATGATACAATGACAGAGACCAGACAAATAGACGGGCGGATGAACCTACCCATTAGATGATACAATGACAGAGACCAGACAAATAGACGGGCGGATGAACCTACCCATTAGATGATACAATGACAGAGACCAGACATAGAGGGGCGGATGAACCTACCCATTAGATGATACAATGACAGAGACCAGACAAATAGACGGGCGGATGAACCTACCCATTAGATGATACAATGACAGAGACCAGACAAATAGACGGGCGGATGAACCTACCCATTAGATGATACAATGACAGAGACCAGACAAATAGACGGGCGGATGAACCTACCCATTAGATGATACAATGACAGAGACCAGACAAATAGACGGGCGGATGAACCTACCCATTAGATGATACAATGACAGAGACCAGACAAATAGACGGGCGGATGAACCTACCCATTAGATGATACAATGACAGAGACCAGACACATAGACGGGCGGATGAACCTACCCATTAGATGATACAATGACAGAGACCAGACAAATAGACGGGCGGATGAACCTACCCATTAGATGATACAATGACAGAGACCAGACAAATAGACGGGCGGATGAACCTACCCATTAGATGATACAATGACAGAGACCAGACAAATAGACGGGCGGATGAACCTACCCATTAGATGATACAATGACAGAAACCAGACAAATAGACGGGCGGATGAACCTACCCATTAGATGATACAATGACAGAGACCAGACAAATAGACGGGCGGATGAACCTACCCATTAGATGATACAATGACAGAGACCAGACAAATAGACGGGCGGATGAACCTACCCATTAGATGATACAATGACAGAGACCAGACAAATAGACGGGCGGATGAACCTACCCATTAGATGATACAATGACAGAGACCAGACAAATAGACGGGCGGATGAACCTACCCATTAGATGATACAATGACAGAGACCAGACAAATAGACGGGCGGATGAACCTACCCATTAGATGATACAATGACAGAGACCAGACATAGAGGGGCGGATGAACCTACCCATTAGATGATACAATGACAGAGACCAGACAAATAGACGGGCGGATGAACCTACCCATTAGATGATACAATGACAGAGACCAGACAAATAGACGGGCGGATGAACCTACCCATTAGATGATACAATGACAGAGACCAGACAAATAGACGGGCGGATGAACCTACCCATTAGATGATACAATGACAGAGACCAGACAAATAGACGGGCGGATGAACCTACCCATTAGATGATACAATGACAGAGACCAGACAAATAGAGGGGCGGATGAACCTACCCATTAGATGATACAATGACAGAGACCAGACAAATAGACGGGCGGATGAACCTACCCATTAGATGATACAATGACAGAGACCAGACAAATAGACGGGCGGATGAACCTACCCATTAGATGATACAATGACAGAGACCAGACAAATAGACGGGCGGATGAACCTACCCATTAGATGATACAATGACAGAGACCAGACAAATAGACGGGCGGATGAACCTACCCATTAGATGATACAATGACAGAGACCAGACAAATAGACGGGCGGATGAACCTACCCATTAGATGATACAATGACAGAGACCAGACAAATAGACGGGCGGATGAACCTACCCATTAGATGATACAATGACAGAGACCAGACAAATAGACGGGCGGATGAACCTACCCATTAGATGATACAATGACAGAGACCAGACAAATAGACGGGCGGATGAACCTACCCATTAGATGATACAATGACAGAGACCAGACACATAGACGGGCGGATGAACCTACCCATTAGATGATACAATGACAGAGACCAGACAAATAGACGGGCGGATGAACCTACCCATTAGATGATACAATGACAGAGACCAGACAAATAGACGGGCGGATGAACCTACCCATTAGATGATACAATGACAGAGACCAGACAAATAGACGGGCGGATGAACCTACCCATTAGATGATACAATGACAGAGATCAGACAAATAGAGGGGTGGATGAACCTACCCATTAGATGATACAATGACAGAGACCAGACAAATAGACGGGCGGATGAACCTACCCATTAGATGATACAATGACAGAGACCAGACAAATAGACGGGCGGATGAACCTACCCATTAGATGATACAATGACAGAGACCAGACAAATAGAGGGGCGGATGAACCTACCCATTAGATGATACAATGACAGAGACCAGACAAATAGACGGGCGGATGAACCTACCCATTAGATGATACAATGACAGAGACCAGACAAATAGACGGGCGGATGAACCTACCCATTAGATGATACAATGACAGAGACCAGACAAATAGACGGGCGGATGAACAGGCAGGTGGACGGAGACCCGCACAGGCAGACAGCCACAGAGGGACATAGACAGACACCCATGGGAAAAAATACCTAAAAAATAAAATATAGCTTATTCGCTGTCAAATGTCATATCATTAAAGGACGTCATACATAGCGACCATCATCACGCTGACAATCCGGGCTCTATTCCCATCATGGCTCCAATATTGGTGCCATTTTTTGGAATCTCCGGTCTTCATTTGGCTGTATAATTGTAAAATGCGCCGACTCTCATAATTAACACACTCGCTAACCCGTGAATGTATACGGAACAAAAACGTGAGGGATCGTGACTATTTTGGGTTATATTTTTATGAAATTGTGTGCTCAGTCGTCACTACAAAAAAGGTATCCCAAAAATATTATTACTATTAACATTTTTGGTCAGTGTAGTTTGCTTCGCCGCATGAATGTCCATTTGTCACATTTGTCACATTTATGGGTGCAGAGTGTGAGGCATAATTCTGGTTCCTCGTCGTAACAGTCTTGAAAGAAATACTAAACGCGGGTTAAAACTATACTCATTCACTCACTGACACACACACAAATTCGCATCGGCCAACAGCCAACCTCACCAACACGCTCAACTCGATCAAACTCCCTTGACCCGAGTCAGCTCAGCATTGGCAGATCTCCAAACAGAACACCGATAACACTCACAACGAACCCCTCGTAAGGCGACGCAGAATCTTTAAATCGGTGGCAGTAAACAATCAACAAAGATGAGGGGTGTTGATCGCGTTCTCGTCCGCGGCTGACACATCCAGGGGACGCGCTAGGGGGATGCTGACGCACTTGGGGATAGACATGGGGCTGCGGCTGCTGTTGGTCGTTGTTATTCCAGGTAAGAGGGAAAAACGGTCAAAATAGCAGGCGGGATAGGAGGCTCGGTAAAACCGACCGGTAAAAACACTGTACTATTCTTTGGGGATTTAACAATAAAAACCTTTTACGGATCAAAAGATAAATAGTTTTAATTCTTTTATTTTGGGGATTTGGTGACATTTAGATTTGAATTGCGTTCATGCGTTTCGCGTTTGATTCATGGTAGAACCAAAGGTTATTCAATTCGGCAGTTTGCGATCGTGTGGACTTACGTCTTTATGATGATATTGCAATTGATTAAACTGATGATGATCAGTTTGTAACAAAAATGATCATGATAATAATAAATGGTTTTGGATCGTCAAAAAACTATACTTCTAGTCCATGTCTTATCTCGTTTCAAAAATCACAACTCGCTATTATTTCTTTTTTTTAAATATCCGATGTACAGTTGCATAACTGTGATGCTGCTGCCTGCGGCATTAAACAATATTCACTCTCATTCTTACTTAAAATGTTGGAATACTAAGCTGATTTCGAAATTAACGTATGAACAAATCAACCATTGAGATTATAATCAATTCTTTAATACTGCAAGTGGCGGACTGTTTAACATGGGGAAAGTTGAACTGATATGAATCCCACATTTGCACCTAAGTGATCGTAACTCACATTGACTTTGAATTGTAGATAATCTCCACATTAACCATCATCTTTGAGTAAAACGTTATGACGAAAACGTTATATACTGATAGCCCTTTAATTCACCTGAGTTCAACATTAACGGTTGGTGAGATTGGAGGTCACAATGTTTATCTCGTTGCTTGTCTGTTGCTTTCACACGAGTTTAACTGTGAGCATAAAAACTTTGTAAAATCATTGTGTTAAAGGGCAGCGCCTTCCAAAAAACGTTTACACGAACTGACGCGACATCCACCATGCCCGAGCTGTCTGACGCATTCCCCATAATCGTTACTTCGCGACGTTTTATATAGTTTTTTTGTTATTTTTTCCCCGCCGTCAAGATTTTTTGTCTATAAAAAATTAGAGGTGAGTTTGACCCTAGAGATCCGAGATGGATTTCCAAAATGGCCGTGCCCGGTGTAAAATCGCCGACTTCCCTGGTGCTGTGATTGTCAGATTATCGAAGCCAAATTAAATGTTTCTAATTATCAAATTATTTCCTTTCGTCAGCAAATTTTTTATACATGTTTGTCAAAGTAGGAAAGAATATTATGTTGAAAAGACGATTAATTTGTTTTACGTCATCTGTAGGATATATTTGATGACGTCATCTCTAAAAGGTCAATATGAAGGGTTTTTACCTTGATCTCGTTACAGTTCGATGACACTTATGAGATGTTATTGTCACTCGCCAACATTACTTCGAGAATGAATCTTTGTAACGCGTAAGGACGTAATGATAAATTCGTTTCATGTACTGCGTCAAGATGCTGCGTCATTGTTGCCTTGCATAGCGCTCGGCATTAAGGGGATAAAACAAAGAGTGGTCTTGCTCCGAGTCAGTGCACTGTGTCTGAGTGTCCACAAGCACGCACGCACGCACGCACGCAGGCACACGTACGGCCGCACACACGTTCATACACGTCGGGGGGCACGGGTGGCCCTGTCGTCAAAGGCGCCGCGATTCGCTGTGCAGAGTTGCGTCCCTTGGGCACGCCAGAAACCTATGATTGTGGGTTCGAATCTCGGTTCGCCCCGATTATGTTTCTAGGTTTGTCAGCAAAAAACCCGTTATCGTGGGTTTCACCGAAGTGGTAAACGCCTGAGACGTGCATCACTTGGGGCTTTCCTCCTACATTAAGCTGACACGCCGTGATATAACTGGAATAGTGTTAAAAGCGGCGTTAAACCCAACTCACTCACACACTCATAAACGTCGGTATATAAGTGCAATGACGTCAAGCACACCATGTCTATTTTACTGTATGTATATTGATTTGATTTTATTCATAGTGACTCACAGATCAAACGTGTCTCATATGTATGTTATATATGTTATAACACTCTCTCTAAACTCCTGCTTTGATTTCAACATTTGTATATACCTGACGGCCTAGACAGCCACTCTTATCAGTAGTGTACATGTATGATGGACGAGATTGGATATACTGTTATCACCCTACATGTATGTACGTGCGAGACAGAGTTTGTTATGTTAGTTTGTTTCATCGAGATAGCGATAATACGATGCGACAGTACGAAAGGACTCTGCCGATTCACAATATCACTTTATTGCGTACATTATCGCAATGTCGCTTTATAAGGTAAAGGTAAAAAACCAGTCTTCAGCAACCCATGCTTGTCGTGACAGTCGACTAACGGGATCGACTGGTCATGCTCGCTGACTTGATTGATGCATGTAATCGTATCCCAATTGCGTGGATCGATGCTCATGCGGTCAATCACTGGATTGTTTGATCCAGACTCGGTTATTTACAGACCGCCGTCATATAGCTGGAATATTACTGAGTGCGGCGTAAAACAACACACATACAAATTATAAGGTAGAGAAAAAATACACTGGGCTATAATTTGGATCGTGTAATAACATGATCGTGTGTACCGTCGATACTTTCTGACATACCGTTATAGTATACATATGGAGATACAATACTACATTTGTCTTATTGAGTGCGCCACACATGACAATATCAATGTTGTCAGGTGACGACAAAAGTAAAACATTTTTTTTATTCGTTATTCTTTGTCATTGTCAAGAGCACAGAAATGCGAAGTAAAATTTACGCATGTATTGATCTTTATTAAGATATAAAAGTTGTGGGAAAATAATGGCCCTTCTCGGCCATCATAGTTACGTAAGTTAGTTGTGGTCGCGACCTGGCTGAGTTATTTCTAGAAAGAGATTACTACCCTGGTTGTAATCATGACTCTGAATATATCTATTTACCCATACGTCCAAGACCAAGTGTCAGTGCGTTCTCATTGATCCGTGATCGTAGGTTGTGCACGAATGCATGTATTTTTTGAGCGCAAACAAGGTAAACTGAAGTTCAATATAGCTGTTGTTCTGTTCGGATATTGTTTTCCGCCACAGTATAGTCCTGGGTTCTGGTCCACAAAGCCATCGTAGCGCTACGACTGTCGTAAGTGTTTATTAAAGTATGGGAGTTACGATCATCTCAGCGCTAAGATCGCTTTGTGGAACGGGACCAAGCTGTCCCCTGTCCCACAAAGCCCCGGGAGCGCTACGACTGTCGTAATTCAGTGTTGCAGAGTTACAATCGACTCGCGTGAAGATCGTTTTGCGGAAGAGTCCCTTTACACTCCTCGTAGTGTTAAGATGGCGGTGTGTCATAGCTCCTTGCTATACGTCAGTCATGCAAGTGAATAGTCAACTCTGGAATACCTAAACCAGTTCTTTTGGACATGAGGACACATCAATGTCTTTGTGGTACGATGACACACTAATTGTATAACACATTGATGCAACCCGATTGTATTCGACTCTTTCGAGACGATTCTGTTTTTTTCACTCATCTATATTTTATATATGACTGCGGCTTGTGAATGATCGTGACGAGAGTATGGTTTTTTCGCCGCTTTTACCAATATTCCTGACGGGGGACACCAGAAATGGGCTTAACACATTGTAACCATGTGGGATCTTGACCAGACAGGCCTGAGATAAATAGTGATAAACGTCCCACGTCTACAAACATACTGTACTAAGGAACAAGAATATTTTCGACCGAGGAATCCTCACAGGGATTAAACACGCTTTGACTACGCCAGACCAATCGTTGTCGGGAATCCGCGGAAGGGAACAGTCCGGAAAATGTATGCATATACAGTCGAACCTCGTTGTCCCGAACTTGTATTTGTGTCATATTCACTGCTGTCTCGAACTCATAAAATTTCCCTGATGTCTCGAAACCCGGATAAAATTCCCCTGATGTCTCGAACCTCGGGTGTCTCGAACCCTGGGTAACTCGAACCTTTTTCCAGGTCCCCACGACTTCGACACAACGAGGTTCGACAGTATTCACAAAGTTTCTGTTCCTCGCATAACTTAGCCCTGTGTAAGAATAACGCAACATAATGTTGACAGTGTACATACTCCCTCGTAGAGAGCCCCAATATATCGGTTGTGTTTACACCTGACACCTAAATAAAAAATATACCTTTTTATAGATAAGATGATCGGCAGCGCGGCCTCTCGCGTGACAAGTCCACACACAGTATTGGCTTTGTTGTCAAAGATGTAAATAACTGCAATACGGATAAAACCTACATGTAAACAACGACATTTATGTCAGCGTATTTGAAATACCTTTGTTTAGGTTTCCGGGAGGTCTAAAGCGCTCAATAAACAACCGCTAATCTGAGAATTGTGTTTATTGTTAGCTTAATTGTTTTGCTTATATATAGCAGGGACAGTATATGTAAAAGCCTTCGTACCAATGTGTTACAGCCAATAGCCTAAAAATAATTTTTCCATTTTCCATCACCTTTTTTTAGAGGTAAACATGGATAAGATAACATATTGAGCTAATCTTTTTTTTTCATAGATTAACAAATATGTTTGTGTTACAAGCCTTTCATCAAACACACTATGGCTGAGAATATACTTAATTACGTGGTGGATAGGTATTCTCTGGTTGAATTTCGATTTGAGTGTTAGGTTGTAACAAGCCGGGTTATCACGTCGGCCTCATGAACATATATTAGGCAATCATTCGTTGTGTGAGTCGACAAGAACTTTTATTTAGTAAGAGGGAGTAGAACAGTTTGGTCGGTGTGTATGGATTAAACAGGCAAACTCGAATGTTTACAATGGCTGGATTCCCTGTGGCGGAATAAACAAATACATGTTGTTTTCATGTTGATAATAGAATTAAAAAAGATTGCAAATGACTATGCTTTGTATGTTAATCGCCTTGTTTATATATTAATATTTATAAAAAATGTTGATGTGTGGTTAAATTAATTTTCATGATGTGATGAGCGTATTTTGTCGTATTCTTAAAACACATT